AATTAGATACTCGAGCAACACGCCATACCATACCAGGCCGCCGGTTCATAGAAAGAACTCTCATCACGCGGCAAGGTAACGACCCCAGACCACTCATCTAAATTGTATAAAGGATTTTCATTGCGAAATGCAACAGTGGCATCCTGAGAAACATGACGTAGCCAGGACAGCTGTTATAATATGGGTCAAAATATTTGACTGCATTGCAATATTAAATTAAAAACTACCGATGTTACATTTTGAGACATTAAAAGTTGATTAAATATCACGCTATCCTGAGAAACAGTTAGTATACAATACATAAGTTTCAAGATAAAATTCCTCAATTATCTAATCTAATTTAGACAGGGTCCAGTAGGTAGCAAAGGGCAATTTAAAAAAAAAACAAGAACAACCATATCTCTTTCCCAAGTTTGATACAAAAAGTACATTATACTATTTATTAGTTTCGTGACAACCGAGACATCTTTATTTTAACTTTCGTTTATTTTTCCTTAAAGGGATTCCGCCTCTCCCAATTTGCGCGGTGATTCGGAACTCTTGACCGCCGGTGCACGTCTGACCTCTCAGTTCGTTTCATCTCGTGCAAAGAGTGCCCGGTCGTCGTCCACGCGTCACGTTCGTCGACGTTCCAGCGCCCTCGTGGAAAGGGAACGCAGAAACGGCTCTCGTACCAGATGCCGCGGATACGCGGCGCGTTTCTTTTCCCGCGTTTTGCCGATCCACGGCTTCTCTATGGCCTTCCGCCGGCGTCTCTGGCTGACGTGGAGTTAATAAAGTTCCGCTCGTTCTACGAGACGTATCCGCCAAAGAAACAGCTAAATGAAGCTGTACGCGGAATGAAGCATATTTTAATGTCTTACTCCCTACCCCCCAGCCCCACTCCACGCCCCGATAATGTACGTGCCCGGTGTGTAAATATGATGAACTTGGTAATGCGCCGTGGAAACCAGTTTGGAGGATGTACACGCGCGTTCAGCGGTCCGGGGGTGATCGTGAATCAAGACGCGTTTCCCCAGTTCGACGAAGAAGCGGCCAAAGAACCGACGACAGGAACGATCGGAGTTGATTTTTTTCCACTCCCGTCGATTGGTAGCCAGAGGTGGGGTAATGGCGGACAAAATGCAGTTACGTGGACAAGAACCGTGTTCGAATCCGGGGGCTGTCAGGCTTCTTTGATTAAAGGACCCGGTCGAAGAGGACGTAAATAGTCGATACTTGGCGGTGACAGGTAGTGATGGGCCATGAGCCATGAGTATGATCGAGCAGTATCGATACTTTATAGTGAAGAATTCTGATTCCGAAACCGCGAATAATTCTCCATATGTTAAAAGGTATCGATACTTGAGCGATACCGAAGTGATACTTAAGTGATAGCATCATATTCAGATGTCTCGAAGCTGTACAAGTATGTTTACTGCGAATGTTTATACAAATGTAATTTCTTTTCGCGGATATAGATAGAAAACGAACATTGAAATGAAAATATGTTTTATACTTTATCCTCTTATGGTTGATATTTCATATATTTTTGTAATTATGCACATTCTCACAGATTTCTCCATATTTCCATTTGCCACAAATACATAAATATCCGGAGCCTTGGATGGGTTTATAGGTTCGTACCTATATCTTGAACATTTGAAAGCGTAATAATTTCGTTCTATCATTCTCACATTTACTCCTTGCTGTGCTCAAGCATATTTATCTGAGGCATTTATCAATCGTCTTGATATTTAGTATCATGTTAATTTCGATTACTTTATGGGACAGACCACTGTTAAAGCATTTTTAAGAGCACTTTTCAGTATATTTTATTCACGATATAAACCAACAAAATCCGGTATATAACGAACTTCCAAATGAATACCTGAGCATCGAATTGCTTGAAAATCTTGTATCTTGTAATTTATTTAAGTGGCTAACTATTTTGATGAAGTTATTTTACTGAATATGCGCCTTACAATACTTATTTTCACTCTTTTTATGCACAAATCGATTAACTCCACGTTTTGAAAAATCTTAAATTTAAGTGTCAAAGCACTTGATATAGTCATAACTTTTTATATTTATAATAACTTTCCTGAATAATAAATTCCCTAAATTTCATTTCTCAACTTTTTGTTTCATGGAGTTAATCGATTTGTGCAATGAACGTGCTCATATCTGTGAGAACCTATAGTTCGGATACCTAGGGATCGCTAAATCTGTACTGTAGCTGAGTACGCGCATGCTACAGCCCCTGAGGGCTGCTAGAAAATCATGAAAAAGACTCCTATTACGCCCATCACTAGTGACAGGCGTTCATTCTCGAACGGTGCCGACTATCATGAATCGCGAATAGGGGGATATCGTTGAGAACGGAAAAAGGGAATCAATTTGTGAGTAGAAATTAAAGGGGCTAGCCGCGGACTGGTACAGGTCATCGCGAAGGATGTGCTCGCGCTTTAATGGCGTCCGTAAAAGCGGGTGCTTAGGCTGTTACTAATCCCATAATCCCGTGTAATTGCTGTTACACCGGCGCGCTCTAATGAAGTGCAAAAAATTAGGGCGTAGTTGTTGCAAGGAACGTGGAACTAGTTTGTCTCCGTGATCCTCTATTACGCGTATTGCGTGCGATGGCCAACGCCTGGCCGTGTTATGCGAATTCCTAGCGACGGCATTCTACACGACTCCAGGTCCCGTGGTTTTCTTACTCGAATGCGAGCAAAAGCGAACGCAGTTTCAGGGCGATTTATGCGCGGGAAACGCGACCTGCGGGGATTACTCGCCCGGACGATCCGAGGCGTAGGGCTTCGGGGAAATGAATTTCAGGTGCCCCTTTTTAAACTGTAGTTTAAATTACGTTCGACATTTGTGAAAAAAATTTACGACAGAACCACTGATAAACAGTTATGACGTGGTTGTTACAAACGCTTGAAGTGAAAACGTTTTCTCCCGTGAAGTGAAATCAGTCGAGATAAATTTGTCTGTAGCCTTTTGGTCTTCTTTGTCAGATAATGGAACTAATTATATTTCCTGTTATTTTCCAAGCATCTAACTAGATGAAAAGGCTGAGAAAAATGCCGGTACCTCGGATCCCCCATGAGATGCAAATTTTATTCTCGTAACATCCGCGCTTGATGGTAGTTTAATTCGCCTCCTGCGCTAGATGAAAACCATGGAAATCGTGTGACGCTGTATTCAGTGGCGGCACTATTCATGTACATGAGAGTAAAAAAAATAAAATGAAGATACAGAGACAGGCGACGGATTATGGCGGCACTTGGGTTGACTCCTCCAATTTATCACCAGAAATACGCAAAAAACATTCAGCTGTTACGTTCTGAGTTATTCGGCAGAGCTCCCGACGACGAAGTATTATCTTAATGATGAATAATGGCGCAAAATGATTCCTCGCGTGACTCAGAGATTGGATGGAAGAACAGAATGCTAATATCGAATCTTCTCACGGTCATCGAAAGTTTTAATAAATACAAGCATTTTACTTTGTGATTCGATGTACGCAAAATACGTCACTTTGTCATCTGCCAAGCTGACTTCCTTTGATAAATATTTCAATTCCCAGCTACATAGTTTTCAATTTGATAGTTTCAGAGTAAGTAAAGGTTCATCAAGGTTTCCTTAGCAGGAAGAATCATGCAGGCACAATGAAGGTACTTAAAGTGACTTATCATTCTTGTGATCAAGAATTCTTTGTCATTTCTCCTCATTTGTCTTGCTAGATCTTGTTCGGAGGAGCCCAAATTCTAATCGAAACTTGGAAGACTCGGAGCTTGTTCGACTTGCAGGCTCGACTTCCCCAAAATTAAGAGCATATTCAAAACTTATGATGAAACCGTTCAGAACTTTCCATAGACTCCTCCATGTACCCCTGGGTTTGCAACTTATTTCACGAACAAGAACTCAATAACGAAAAGGAATTTCAACTTGGTAGACTGACTTAGTGCACGTAGATCAGGAGAATTTTTCGAACAGTGGATGCTTGAGAGCATTGACTAAAATAGAGTTTCCCGAGATGGGAAGTTAGATACTTGGATCTTCTAAGAATTCGAAAACTAATGGGGATCCTTCAACAACTCTAAGTTAGATCTATTCTATGTTAGAGGTAGAGGTTGAGGATTGGACGCTGAGGTCTGTTAAAACTTGGCAAATTACTTAGAATAAGTATTTATACATCAGAAAATGAAGTATATGAATAATGTTTATAATCAAAAACTAGAAACTAGAGTCTCTAGATTAGGTTGTATTTCGAGACTTAGACAACATTTTTCTAAGCTCGTATCATTGTTCACAGATATAGTAGATTAACAGATCATTAGACGATGCAGCATGGCAGGTGTCAGATCATTGTGGCCTGCTGTTGCGCAGCGATTGAGTATCGACAGTAACGAGACTAATCCAGTGATATAATCATTAATACCGATACGTATCAATTCCGAGTATTGTGTGGAATGAAATTCCATATGTACCGAAATATGCTGTCATTTGGATTTGTAAGATGAACTTGATGAAACATTTCTAAGGGTATTCATACGGAACAAATATCAAGTTCCATTACAATTTCAACAAAATTATAATTTCAGTTCTGCGTTATTTAATTTATCTAACCAAATATCCCAAGAAGAGGTAACTGACAAGATAGTAATATCATCATTAAAACTGCTGATTTTGTATCTAAGAATCTATTCGACGAATTTCTATCCTGATTTTTGTTTTTATATAATTTTGAATAGATGCTTGATATATTCATAAGTTGAAATGAAAGATTCAAAAGTTCAAATGAAAGAAAAGAAAAAAAAAATGCAAATCAAGCAGGACATTAATAAATTGAACAAAATTTTGCACATACATATCCAAACAAACGTCCCAAGTTTCAAAAATGAATCTCAATTCGCCTACAAAACAATCACCTCGAAATTGTTCTAAACGAAAAAGCACCCCCACCAAGAAATACAATCTTTCTCGCACTAACAATCATCAATTTATTTCTGTTCCAGATTCTACTTTCCCACTTCGACGCCTTCAAATTCCCCAGTTCCGAGGTAGTGCAATTCCGCGCTCTGGTTACACCATGCATGCCCACCTGCGAACCAGTCCAGTGCGATCAGGAAGAAGCCACCGGCGAGCTGCGATCCGTGATTTCCTTCGGTAAACGTCGTCGTCGTCGCTCGACCAGTCCCTCTTCCCAGAACCGCGAGGACCTGCTGCTGGTGCAATCCATCCAGATCACCGACAAATTCGGCTTCGAGCACGACGGCAAGGCGTCGAACGCCAGCTCGGCCACTAGAGACACCGTTTTCGTCGAGAGCGAGGACATATCGTCCACGATGGGTGTTTGCATCAACCTGGGCGAGGCAATCGTCGCAGGCACCGTCTTCCTCGTCGCCCAGATCGCCATAATCGCGGCGTGGACCATCACCTGGCAGAGACGTCGACAGATGCTCAAGCATCAAGAAGCCCTCTCCGTCTCGGTTTCCGTTCCTGGAATGCATTCCGTTCCGGGGCGCACAGACAGCCTCTGTAAGTTGTACGACGCCGGATATTCAGCGCGCCGTTTTTGAATAGCCTTCGTTTCCTGTCCCCCTCCGTCCCTCGATCTCGTCTTCCTACCAGGGTTGCAACCCCTCGGCTGACATCGCCACCGAGATCTTCGCTAGCGACCGTTAATCACTGCTTCATCGATGCAGGGATCTAGCGATCCCATTCTCGGGAACGATCGTAGATCTCGGCTCTCCAAATCGCTAGATCATCAACGAGGGACATAACATGTTGGAGGGATTTAACTTTGGCTTCTTTCGGGCGCAGCCATCCGTTGCCTTTCGATCGGGAATCGTGCAAACGTTCGTCGAGTGTTTGATAAAGTTCGATCCGTAGGGCAGATAGAGTAATTTCAAAGACATCGAGCCGGGGAAGTATTTCTGGATGGAAATTGCCTCTCCCGTCCGTGACACTTCGCGCTTTCTTTACCTTATAGGAATTATCCCGCGCGTCGGTACTTTTTCCAATTGATCAAGGCTGAGCCGTCTTCATTGCTTCGATTTAATAGTCTTAAAAGTCATACCGCATCATCCGCGAGTTGGGAAAGGCAACTCCGAATCGAACCCGCAACATCCTGTCGAGCGAACCATGGTCCCCCGTGATCGTCGATTTCCTTTCGAGGCTCGACAAACGATCGTCGATCGCACGCGTGAAAGCTTCGTTTTCGATTTTCTTGGTTTATTAGTCGCCGAGGGAATCGTTCTCTGGAAAAGCGCGCGCGACGATCGACGAACCACTCGCCGACAGAACCTCGGGGTCGAGTCAACTTAAAATCGACCTTTAGCAAAGTTGAACGTATAATTGCAGAAGACAGTAATTACACCGTAGCAGCTAGAGGCAATTAGACGATCAAAGGGCAGGTCCGATCGATTATCTTCCAGCTCCGTCATCTTTCATTCATAATAGTGCATAATCTTCCCCGTTTCTTGCGACGTTTTCTTCCTTCCTTCCACTTCCATCCCGCCCATTCCATCGCCGTTTTTCCTGTCCGTTCATACGCGAAACGAGACAAGACAAAGCGAAACAAGCCGAAGCGGGATGAGGCGTGGCGTGGCTCCAAAGGCGATAGAGGTCGACGTGTACTTGCTACGTAGGATAGGGCACTGGTACGGACTCTAATTAGCATTGGGAATCGAGCATGATTATGCAGATGCTCCAAGTAGGATATCAACAGGAGGAATGGCGGACACGGTGGCGCGCGGGAGTGCTGGGGGAAAGGGTCAGGGAGATAGAACGGTCGAGAACGGAACGACTGGAAACAGTAGGAGAGAGCGATAGAAACCCAGAGGGGCGATACGGGAGAGCAAGGGCGATGCGCGTAAAGGGGTTGGCGGAAGGTTAATTGCCTCTTGTGGCGTCTCGGGGTTAAGCTAAGCTTCGTGGGGTTGGACGAGAATTCGGGAGCGAGAAGGGTCCGGAAACGAGACAGCGAGATGGCGTCGGATCGCATCAAGGATAGCTATCTAGAGCGTACTGGGACCACGTAACCTCGATCCCCCTCCGACTTAACCTTAGCCATGTCCGGGCCATCCGTGTTGGTACGGTTAATTTACATCGCGATACGTGAGCTTATCAATCTGGCTCGACGTGGCCCTAGCTGGTGGCTAGGAATGACACTTATGGTCAGTCGCGACGAATCGTTGGGACAGAGGAAGCCCTCCTCGTTTCACCGGTGGACACGGTTGTATACGACGTGGCCAATTCTAGAATGCGAATTATGTTCTCATAGGAACTTCATGTTTTACATTTGTTTAAGCATCAGGACATCGCATAGGTCTTATAAATGATTTTAACTGTATCATACACGTAATAGTCCAATCGATTCATCAATCATCAATATTCAACAGTTTTTCAAGTTCACGAGTTCACTGTCTACTAAAGTCAATTTCAGTTTACACGAAACGTCTCAAATAAAAAATTACTCCTAACAAACTCACAAGTAAAAACTCCAATCAACTCGGATATACTGAAACACGTATCTTCCAAAACAAATGAACAATTTCCTCTACATGATAGAAGGGCTAAATTAATTTAGTAATCGAAAGAAACATTTTCTTCGAGCACGATTCTGTCAAAACAAAGCACTACGAAGACGCACGGAGCCGTCAGACATTAGAACAAACACTTTGATGAATTTCATCGGTACCGCGTTCCGGGACAACGAAAATTCGAAAGTTCTCCCACCCCCTCCCCCCTGCCCCGTGCAAGTTGCTATTAGGGCTAGAGACGAACGTTTACGTTGGAGAAGTTATTTCGACATTTCCCGAGCCACGGTGCCGTGCGAATCCGAGTTCAAACATACCCGTTGCCCAGGGAAGTTATAACAGGGAGAGTCGATCTTAACTTCGGAGCATAGATCCAACGTGCAAACGTCCCCGCACAATGCACGGAGCGCAGAGACAGTACGTTCCAATGGATTACATTCCGCGGAAGGGGGTTGCTATTTAACATAACAACCCTTACGGTCGAACTTGCCAGGAACTGGGTGCTCGCGAAACTTCCCTTGCAGTACGAATTTTACACGTCGTCAGGGGGGGGGGGGAAGTGGGCGAAACTGAGCGAGCAGTAGACGAGGATCTATGACGGGGGATCTATCGGACGGAAGGGCGCGCGATACGTTGGATAAATTTAAATCGGTTAGCCACGTTGACGTGGGACTCCGCCGACCTCTCCGATACAAAGACTGCGGAAGGGATCGGGTTAATTGAGAAACTTGAAGATCCGAATACGCCCCCGCCAAGACAAACAGACAGCGGAATAGGGCGGGGACAAGCAAAAGAGAAAAGATAAAGGCGGGCAGAGTGCGAGTCTCCGATTATCGGGAAACGTTTGCATTTCAGTTAGCCGAAGTTCGGATCGTTCCCCCGTTCGACATTTGTCTACCACTGGCAAACACGCCGCGAACCGCCCAGGGTTTCTCCCTCGACTCGAATCATCGGCTTCCCGCTTTATCGCGAACAGCGCTGACTGATAAATAATCGAACTGACGCTGCGGAGAATGGGAAACTATAGTCTTCCGATTTGTTGGAAATTTGTTTCATCTGGTAGCTGTGTCGACCGTGGAATAACTTATTTCTGTTGTTAATTTATTCGAAAGTATAGTTGCAGGAGGCAGAAGAATACTCGTGATACGAAAATATGCCTGATTTTTTCTTAAAATTTTTTCTTTCTAAGAAAAAATACAGAAACTTAACAAATGATCCCACAGGGACGGTGTTGGAGCAATACACATCTTTGATAAATTTTCCCTAAAGTATTTGCACAAAACCGGGGTTTTTCCTCCCGATCCGAATGATCGACTTCTTGGCTTATCGTGTGCGCAGTCTGTGTGATAAATGACCGGACTGACGCTGTAAAAAATGGAACAATGGTCCTGTTGGTATAAATCTTTATTTTCCATTCGAAGTACGTTATTTTTGTGTCGATACAGCGTTCGAAACGATCGAGTATCGATCTGCGTCTAGGATGAACAAAGTACTCCTGGACCGGAATTCAGATTCAGCGATTAGAATTTTCTATACAATTTATAATTATTAATATTTTGCTATGATATGGAAAAATCTTTATTACAAACAAGTTTTTCTAATCCTACGAGTGGACTTCGATCTACAGTGCGATCCTCCAAAGTAGCGTCACCGAAATATCGATAACTTTCATTGAAATTTTTTTGCGATTAATAATTAAAACACAAGACTGTAGAAGAATAACCACCAATGAATGGGTGTTCACGTTGACGACGATAGAAATTCACTTCGACCTTTTATTCAGGCTGCGTACTACGACGTTGTCGCTCATAAATTCATCATCGTGCGTCCCAGCGAGCGTGATTCTCTCTGGAACACAGGCGCCAGATGGAATGACGAGGTAAAAACAGAAAAGATATTTCCGCAACAAACTTCTCCAGGGCGCGACACAATGCATTCGAACCGGGGCAGTCGGAAATTCGAGAGTGGAAAAATATCGCCGCACGCATCCCTTGTGTCGTGATGGAGCTGAAACGTCGACACGCGCTTTAATTATCGATTGTAATTGCCGTAGAAATTGGTGGGCCACCCAGAAGCGGGGTTAAATCGAATTTTGTTTTCGAATCGGATGGCACTGATCGAAAACATAAATTGTCGGTCTGACGTTGACCCCCTCGTGCAAACTTTCGTAAGACCAACCATTCTGACTGAAAAATGATTACAGGAAACTAAGAAGTTTATTTATTGTAAAATAGAAAAGAAAGGCAACTAGGTGTAAGAATTAATTCTGTGCCTTTCTAAAGTAAACTTACTAAGTATGAAAGCACATAATCAATTGTTACACCTAATACATAGGCAGATAATTCACTTGCAACAGAATTTTGTGAGGGCATAATTTTCATTCATGGTGATTCTACTGAAGGACTTAGAAATTAGTTAAACAAAGCTCAACTTTAAACTTAAATCTTGGTTTACTATCGCGTTCTTAGGCCACCGGAGCCCTGTTCCAAGCTTCCCTTATTTTTTCGCTCTGTCAGATGCGCGGATTAAATTGCTCGGGGCAAGAAAAGAAGAACGTAGATTCGAATTAAGCGATTAAAACGCCATCGTGTTGATCAAGCTTAACTCATGCATCAAACTTGCACACCTGCATGGTCTTGCTCCCAACCATCAGAGTCCATCGTGTCCTATCGTGTGAACCAGTCCACGTGTCGCGAGTCCGCGACGTGTCTCCCGTTTCGCAGCTACTACTTCTATACATATAAATAATAACGCACATGTATACATCGATGATAAGATGCCAACGAAGGTGCCTACGCGTTATTAATAAGCGACGCTAATTAAGATTATATTTTACATTTACGAAATATGCTAAGGATTTTTCGCTAACGCTGACGTAGTATATCCAATTTGCTTGTGGTGAGAGGGTAGAGCCAATTTTTATACACGTTCGAGACGCTAAATGTACGAACGACGGAATCGCTGGCTGCGATTTATTGAATATCGCCGCTCGCGATCATTTTAGAGATACAATCCTAGCGCGTATAACGAACACGTACGAGATGGCGCATGAAGAATTTCGTTCTCTGTCGCCGGGAAAGCTGGCTAGAAGCTGAACTTTGCAAATTAAGGTCCTCGAGTAAGGATACAAAAGGTACGAAACGAATTATTATAGGAAAAGTTGGATTGAATTGCGACTGGGAACTATAGAAATAATAAGTTTGAAGCAGTGGGGAATTTAATGAAATAAGTTTTCTAGGCCTCTATGAGAGCTTTGTTTAAATTATTAATGTTTAGAGATATACAAATCCATTGAGGTGTAGCATGGCAGGAGCAATAATATTATTTTTCGTATACGCGGTTGAAACTTACAATCGATGTAAATAAAGTAAGTAACAATAACTTTCTGTGATCGGTACCTTAGATAGTGTGTTTGGTATGAAAATGAAGTCTTTATTATACTGAGTATTATGTGCAATATATCGAGACTAAAATGAAAAGAATACGTATACGTTGCTTCTAAGAAAATGATCATGTGATTTGGTAAAGAGCAAGGCATCGAATGAAAAGGATTTGTAATTCTATGAATTAATAATATGATAGGGCGCTCATCCAGGTCGAAAACAATTTATTAGGTTAAATGCTTCATGGCTACAAACATGATCTATATTTGTTTATTCAGAAATATCATCAGACGCGAGAGAATTTAAGATTTTCTTGCGCCATCTTGTAGATGATCATTCCAAGTAGTTCTAGAATCATAGTCGAGCACTTTTCATCGACTTGATCTGAACTGGTGTTATCGCGACAGCGTGGTCAGCGTTCGATCCAAGTCAATGGAAACTGCGTTGTTTCTACAACGATAAGGTCACTTATGAAGTAATTGCCCACTATTAACGCGTATACGATGGAAAAGAAGCCGTACGAGCATATTTCACGTGTATTTCTAAAGTCATACAACTCGGAATCGTAAGTTCTTCGGAAAAAGCAAAAGAAATACTTCTGAGGCTAGAAGACAATTATTTACGAACGAATAACAACGGGAAACGATAATCAAATATTAGCAGTAATACTATTTGGGGTATAAGCTTCACGAAATTGGAGAAGGAGGTGAGGTGGGATGCGCTGTTGGTGAAGTAGAGTACTCTCTTGGTAGGACAGCATTCTCTGTCGATAAGACTATCGAATGTTAGTCTTATCAACAGAGGCCACTACGTTATCGATAGAATACTCTATCTTACCGATCGGACACTCCTCTTCTTATCTAAAATCTCATGGCAAACTGCCTCAACTCTATGCAATATAATAGTATTTTGCTCGTAAAAATAGTAGCCTCCATATTATCATAAAGGCTGCTTCCAATTCAGCATACAGAGATCAGTAATTAAGAACGATACAAAGATGCCGCATTTGGTGATCAATAAAGTTCACCTTCATAATGTTAAGAATTTTTTAACTGCATCACTTTAGAAGGACACGCGGAATGCATCGTGAATCGATTACGTAATTAAGATTAAGTTAAACGCAGCCCTGCGAGCGAAGGTGGTGCAGGAGCCGCTCACGAAACAATAATATTAGGCTCGAGGACGATCGCTCTCTCGATGATACGCCGAGAAACCATCTCTCTATGTTACTTTGACGCTGTTCTCGGCGCTTTCGCGCGCAAGAAGTTTGCTTTCCTCCCTTTCCTGTGCGCTTCCTTCGTCGTCCTTCTTAATGAGTCTTATGCTCGTACACCCCCTCGCCTTCTTTATCGCGAATGTTCACGAGTGCGCTGAGACGTTGGTGCTTGTCCTCGAGCCTGAGGTGCGCGCCTACTCCGTTGTAAGCTTGAGAAGCTCGAGTCTGTTCTGTACCCTGACAAGCGTACATATTTCTGCAGCTGTTTCCA